CGGGTATCTTCTGTGGAAGAACTGCTGGGAGAAACGTTACCTGTATTCGTAGTTGTGGGTGCAGAAGCGCCTTGTCCTTCAGTGGTTTCGGAGTCTGTTGTTTGTGTGGTCTGAGGGATTTGTTGCTCAGGAGAAACGTGTTGTGGTTGAGATTCCTCTGCGACTCCTTGCTTATTTGTTTCTTGTGTAGAAAGAGGAACTTGCGAAGAAGGAGATTCATCAGTTCTGCTTTTGCTGGGTGATTGTGATAGGCTCTCCTTAGCAGCTGCTTGTTGTTTCTTTTGATCTTCTGTTTGTCCATCAGTGGTCCTTTGGTGCTCAGCTTCAATTTCAGTACGTTCTGGGTGTTGACCTCCGTGATCCGTACGATCTACGAGAGCAGGTTGAGGTGCAGGAATAGTTAATTGGTCTTTCCCTTCATTAGAGGAGTTTCGTGCAGGATTACTATTCTCAAGATTCTTAACTGATTCTAAACTCTGAACTTTTTGCTCCCCATGTGATCTTGAACCACCCTCCTCTTCTATCAACACATTAAGACTGTCACCATGGCCTTTTTCGTTCGGAAGCAAACCTGATAATGGCTTTTGTTCCTGCAATGTGTTTTCATTAGCGAGTTTCTCACTACTTTCACAACCCTTCTCTTTATTTGGACATTGATTGATACCTTCAGGGGAATCCTCCTGGTTCGTAGATAGACCTTTAGTAAGGCTTTGATCACGAGAATCATCAGCTTGACGGAGTGCTTCAACTTCTGCTGGCGCTGGTGCTGCTGGTGGAGGTGAACCATAAACACCAGTCGCCCCACACACACAGATAATGTTCAGAAGGAAAACAAGAAAATAAACCACACGTCGTACCATCATCAGAGTAAGAGATACTTTAGCTGCTTGATGTCACCTGGCTAGAGAAAACAAAAGTCAAGCAGAAAGAAGGAAAAAAATACAGTCCATTAAATAGATTTACAAACAAAAAGAAAAGAACACAAGAACAAGAACACTTACACAACAATAAAAATACCAAGTTAAAGAATAAGGATATCGGTAAAGGAGCACCTTACATAACAACCAAGCAAAACGAAAAGAAATTAAGAACAGCACTAACGTTTCCGCAAGCAAAATACACAACATAAAACTCTGGGTACGCCTCAGAAAATATGCATTTATCAAGAACAATTGGTATCTCGCCATTCTCTCTCACATTCCAGAAAGCAGACCACCATAACAGTGCAGGTCAAAGCCCATAACGACCCAGCAAAACCATCAAGCAAACAAAAAAAAAATATTAACCAATATCCCAATTTACACAATAAACACAGAAATATACACCAACTATGGGTGTAAGTCTATGTGTGTGTATATACAAGCAATTATAAATATAAATTCATCTGTTATTATTATTTCCTTTTTCCCACTGCAAAAAAAGCAGTTCATCATCATCATCATAATGCAAGCCCAGGTGCACACAGAGAGAGAGTCTCAAAGAACACACACACACAATGGAGTAGCAATAATAATTATTATAGGATAAACATAGAGAGCAAAAACACACACAAAACACATGAAAATTAAGAAACAAAAAAGAAGATAATCCCAACAGGTGGAAGATTAGTTAGACTGTAAGGATGTAAGCAAAAAAGAAAAAGAAAACAAAGGATGACCTGAGTCACACCACCACACCATCACTCAATCAGCACACAAGAGTACAGGCCAGTGTAACCACAATCAGTAGTGGTACACGCACCCACACAGAACTGCT